CGCGGGTGTTCTTGAGTCTGTCGCAATACTCTCTATAGACAGCATCGGCTGCGCACATGATCATGATGCTGCCTTCTTCCCTCGTCAGGTGCACTGCTTCGCCGATGGAACCGTGAATAACGATGGCTGCTGCCCCTGCTTTGAGGAGTCTGGTGACATGATGCTCGAGAGTTATTGTGTCGATGTCCTCGGAATAAGTAAAGAAGGCGAGAGTGGGAGCGTATACTCCATTGGGGAGACGAAGATGCTTTGTCTTGGGTGCCCCTTGCGAGGCTTCCGCCTGCGAATCATGAGCCACACTGTCATCCGACATCGTTCTTGATAGTTCACAATAGTCGTTCTTGTACATAACAGCAAGTTAAGCGCAAGATCTCAGAGCCACGTCAAATCATGCAGGGCAGCTTGAACTTTATACTCTCTTTGAAAACCCTGGCTCAAATATCTCGGAGCAACCTTCGCCATGTTAATGACCAGGTGATAAGTCAATAGGATTCACATCAAATAAAGTTCGATAGGCCCCCCTTTAAAGCAAAATACATTTCAGTGAACATGTGGCTTTGCAAGAGGGTGGGCAGCAATTTTAAGGTTTGAAAGGACAGGAGTCTACGTTGGAATGGCTGCTTGTCTAACGACATATCCTACCCTTTTCGATGCGCCACTGGACAGTTGAGAATGTTAAGTTGAGAGCCCGTTGAGTGGTGGACACGGCAGGTTTCCGATATCAGTACCTATATCAAAAAGTGCGCCACCGCGACATCTTCCGAAGAACGCATTTAATCACTCCGTTCTTTCACGCAAGTCTTGCTAAAAACTAGGACTTGACACTTGAAGACAGATCACGTTGCATTTAATATGACTGTCATGCGTAGATCTTGTGTTGCACTGTAGTCAGTACATCATGCCGCTTTGTGTTCCTGGTGAACGCATACCACCCCGAATCCATGTAGTGAGATGACTTCACTACCTAGGTTCCAGAATACTCCAAATAATCGCTCTAAAAAAGGTTTATCCATATATTATGGACCTAATTAATCAGTCTCGAGAGATTGAATGACTGAATACAGCGGCCGGAAGAGTTCACGTGAAGATATTGCCTACCACCAATGTCCCCGTAACTTTTGGTCTAAGGTAGCCGTATGATATCACAGACATGGCCAGTTGTAAAGCAGTCAATCAAATTATACAATCAAAAACGCACGTATACAGGCCCCGAATTTTATGGCTTCCAGCGCCTGCATTTCGTTCCTGGCAACACAAAGCATACCTGTGCTACACTGTCGTCACCCACCTCACTTCACTTGGGTCTACTATGCGTGGGGTCTTCTTTTCACGATTGGCCTCCCCGAACATCTCCACACCACATTGCATCTGCAATATGGATCACCGGCGTTGTGGCAGAGTGGTCTAATGCGCAAGACTAGAAATCTTGTTCCTTCGGGAGCGTCTGTTCGAATCAGGCCAACGTCGATTATCTTTTGTGTCCCTGCCCCGTTGTGTTTTGAATACCACAAGTACGACATGGTTGAACTTTTGTGGATGCCGAACGGCAATCGAGGGACCAGATTGTTATGTCAGTAAAGTGAACTCAAGTTCGTGCCGGCTTTTGACTCAACAGTACTTACCAAATTGCTGAGTGCGAATTCCAGTTGCCATGTCTCTCCAGCGAGTAAATGTTCGTAACCCCAGTCGTTTCTGGGATCCATCATACTTCTCACATTTAGCTACCTTTAAGTGGTGGCTGGCTACCGTACATGCTCTTGACATGCTACATTGCCGCCTAAATCATCGTTCTTTTCTGTCTGATGGGGTGAAGAGTCTTCATTTCTCTAGCCTTGAACTACTCGTGCATCAGCTCGTATGCAACCTCACGGGCGCCTACCCCAGAACCAGGTCAGAGAAATTCCGATCGACGCCCCGTTCTGGATATCTCTCTTCAAGTCTGACTCAAGCCTGTCCATGTCTTGAGTAGTTTGGAGAGTGTCGACGCCTCCAGATTCAAGTATAGACAGCATTACTGGCTGAGCAACCTCGGTGGCTATCTTTCTCATCGACTCTCGCATCATGCCCTCCACACTGAAAGTGTTCCAAACTTTATCGTCGACATCCGCGAAGCCAGCGTCTCGGAGAACGAGGGGAAGTTGAGCGGGCATGCTGTATTGGATGACCAGGATGAGTAAGATGAAAACGCTATGACTGTAGTGATAGGAACTTGTCCCAAAGCGCTGTAGACAGTATTGAGAAAATTGAAGAACTTACAAGGGATTACGGCCGACTTTGATAGACCACAACATTCTGATTCGAGACCACTCGTCGAAAGCGTGGCTAGGCGGGACGCACTTCCAGGACGTATCGCCGGCCTCTTCCCAGTGGATGTACCCCCCGGAGCGCAAGAGCGTGAACGCATTCGCCGCCACAGTTTTCCAATCCTCTTTCCGCATCCCAGATCCAATCAAGCGTATGTGTATCATGTCGAATGATCCATGCATCTCCTCTGGAAACGGCTTCAACGCATTATGCTGCAGAAGAAAAATATTCGGAGGCAAGTCAGATGGTGGCGGGAACTTGGTGGTGTCCATATCAATGCCTCGCAGCTCGGCGCTGGAGGGGAGCAATTTTGCCATGTCTCTCAGCCAGATGCCGGTGCCGGTGGCGATTTCTGCAACGCGAGGGTTCTGCTGATTCTTAAGATGTGTCAAGATTTGCTGGGGACAGAGTCCACCGCAAAGAGGGAGGAAGATGTTCCTGTGGTTGTACTCGAGTCGTTCACGTTCTTTGGCGAGGTCGCCGCGGTTGAGGGCGTAGACGGTATCCTGGTCCTTGTTCCATGGTTCCAAGCCAGCGTGGGACTGCGGATGCGATACTGCTGGCATTCTATCAGAGTTCAGGAACAAGGTCATAAGTGCCTTTGAGAGTTCTTCCGATAGTGTGGAGTTCATTGTGTGGTATGTAGGGCAACTCGACAGCCTTTTATACCCAAGGTCACACGGAGGTTCGGAACTCGTGCTGCTTTCGATCGAGGCAGCACAGTAATTGAGTTGAAGGCATGAGAAGCTTTGACCAATCGCTCGAGGATTTGCTATCAACGTTGGACTACATCTCCATAATAGGCTTTCGGCACTTGGCTGCTAGAAGCGCGATTGGCAACTGGTGTGTCATTTCTGCGTAGGTAGTTCGTCTAAGATGCGGCTTAACATATCGTTTTGAACCTAACGCCCTTGACATCGCCGACTTCGGTCCCGGTGCGTAGTCTCGGGCTTAGTTAATACTGTAAGACCTGAGTATATGTAGAAAAGTCTAAAAAAGTCCTGAAGGTGACGATGTGCTGATGAAGGAAAATAACGTATCCCAGCGCCCGGACCATTACCAATTTGTGACGAGAGCACACTCTTCGTTCTCCAGATCTTCTCAGAATTGAGAAATAATAGCGCTGTACTGTGGAGGAACGCATCTCCAACGTCACGGTTTCTGGGGCGCCGTAGTTATTACTCAGCACGGAAGGACCACTCCATGACATTCTTATTGGGTCGCTGGTGTCTGGAGGAGATCCCACGGGCAGAGGCGGATTCCAAGACGAAGTGGTAGACAGGAGAACTCAGAATACGATCTTGCGAGTCTGATGCATATCTCAATCAAGAGACAAACTGCTCCGTGGTCGATATGTTCATCACCGTTCCTGTCGGTCTAAATCCTCGTACGAGTCTGCAGCTGTAGACTCGTATCGATGGAGAGAGGACCGAGCCTTCTTGATAGCAACCCGCCAAGCCATCAGAAGCAGATGAGGGTCTCGGTCGCTTATCGATTCGCACAATCTAGCTCGCAACAAAGTTGCAACATCTAACAGCATCATAGGTCTGAGGAAAAAGAAACCCTTCCGAGCAAGTGAGACATTTCCGAGCCTTCTCTATCTATAGGCTCCTCGGTTGTTCGGGCTACCAAGGTGCAGCTGGTACCAAAATGTTCGCTGAACTCACTTTTATGGTCTCGTACTTTTGCGGGTATCAAATGTCATCAAGGTTGGGGGCAAAATTTACACATCACCCGCACCAAAACTAGAATTGAAGCAAAACCCTGCAGCATCGACACAAGTTCAAAGATACTTAATTACTACTGATTCAGCCACGGAACGCTGCAGAGTGACAAGTAGAGCAACAAGACATGTTAGGAGATAGGTTTGCTGAACGAAGTATGCGTATCTGAGCCGTGCTTTTTCTTTAATTCTAGGGTATGCTTGGGTGCAGAGTAGGAGTCCAGACTGAGAGGTAGGCGTCAAGGAAGATGCAACTACCTTAGGAGAGACGTTTTCATAGTTAGCCACTTAAAGACTCAAGGTACTCATAGTGCATGCACCATCAATTTCGGGGTTTACCCGAGCTTGAAGAGAGGAGACCACAGATCCAAAGCGTCAGCCTCAAAAAGTAGAGATTTGCCGGGTGATATGTGGATACTGACGCCGTAGCCTCCGTCTCGGGACGTCCCGGCCGGGATCGGCGCACCCCACATCATCGGGCTCATGCTTCCGGGCTATCATCACACCAGTCGTACGACGCTCACGTCGAGTGGCTCTTGGCGAAAGGAAATATAAAGAACATGACAGCCTTTGATTTTCAGCTTGAAAAGCTAGGCATGTTGTCTGAGTCGCAAGCAGTGCAACCTTCTTCAGCCTTCAATTTGGATGGGGCCCATTACGGCCCAGAGCTGAAGTGTAAGTTCTTTTAGTAAAGTCATGGCGTTGAAACATTCCGGAGCCGGCGCTGGCGCGCGGCTCTTTACCGGCACTTCGCCGATGCCACGTTGTGCAACTGTTGGTCTATTTGAGCTATTTTCCATGCTGCGGTGCCATCGTAATTTGCATCAGTAAATATCATGAGGCTGCCAACCTACAAAAAGTCTCTGACCCGGTCTTCATTAACCATCTTCACTCCTACCTGTCTCGTCTTCCGTCGGCTATGAATGCAAGTTCTACAACAACACCAGACCCGAACGGTTGAAATCAATACAAAATGGCGGAATATCCTGTGGAACAGTATGAGGGGGTGTTCAAAGAAATCTTGAACGACATTTTTCTGAAATGTCATTACGCCAACAACACAGAGTACTACATGTACATCGGGGACTTCAGCTGTAAAGACTACGATGCTTGCGCGTGTCCCATGATGTCACCGCAGCCAGATATAGCAGGCACAGGTGTAAGTTATTTTTTTTTTCTAGCACGACCTCTTGAGATTGAAAATGAATGACTTCTTACTGAAACCGTTCGGCGAGTTTAGGTGCTCGTGGCTTTCGCCCTCACGGCATTTTTCACTCTCCTCTCAGCAATTTTCTGTATCGTCGTAGGCCGTACCAATCAAACTCGACGGACCTTCAACCCGATTGACCGATATGGTTGCGAATGGATATCCGAACCTCTTCGCCGCTTCATGTTCCGAAGGGGCATGAACCCCGACTTGCATTCCCTCGTCGCCTACGACCTCGTCAATACTTTCAGCGATCTCCAGCTCGTGACAGGTCTCGCGGTATTAGTCGCCGGGATCAAGGAGCTGGCAGATGAATCGATCTCAATCTATCACTTTTTGATCGTCACCGATCTCGCGTGGTTCTGTACGAATGCTCACCTGCTATCGCTGGTGGTCACTCGCGGGTTCCGTGATAGCGTCAAGAGGACACACCCGCAGCGATGCAATCCCGAAAACACTGAAATGACTGCACGCCTGGCTCGCGCCCTACGGATTGTGCTGATGGCGGCCACTTTTATACTCCTTCTACTTGCATTCTGGGTCACTGGCTATGAAGATGTCTATTCTCCGGACCGAATGAGGTGCCCGATGAGATGCACCTTGGGAAAGAAGAAGGGCGGATGGCCTAGACACCTGATGGTAGCCAACATGACCTTGATGGCATACTTTTATGCACTACAAACCTTCCTCAGTTGGCGTACCGGTCGCATCTTTTGGATGGACCATATCAGAGGCTCACTGATCGACAAGCAAGGCCAACCGATCAATGTCTTGAATCCCGAAATAATCTTCAAACGATGGACTGAGAACAAATTCTTGAAGGCGCTGAGAATGTCGCTTCTAGCGGTTTGGTATTTCCTCGCGTCTGAAGTTGGGAACTTAGTGGGGTTAACTCTTTATTTTGGTTTCGGTGTCTACTCTCTTCTCGACGATAAGAGACGTTTAGGCAAAATGGGTGAGGTTTATACTGCCCATGGCGAGAGCGAGATTGTATACAGCCAGCTCGTTCCCATTTTCTTACTCATCATCCCCTTCATGGGCATCTTTGAGTCGCATGCCAGGCACTCGAAGACGGTCAAGGAGTCCGAGCTCAAGGAGGTGGGAAGTTGTACATCAGAGGGATCTTGAAAGCAAATTTGTTCCATGCGAGTGGTGAACCTTGAGGGAAAACAGGACGAAATGGACAGAACCAAGAAGACAGAATGACGAACATGATGAGTCTGATGACTCTGGTTGAGGCAGGGTAGGAGAACACCAAGCTATGCGGAGTGCCATAATACGCCGAAGATCGGATTACTTCTGAGTTAGAGAAAATGTCAGCATTTCTTTCGCAAGGTCAAAGCAACGTGGCGGTGTTCATCGTGAGTTCGCTCTCAGGGTTGGTCAGCACGTTCCCATCGTTTCCCCTTCCGGCGATGTCACTGATCGTTGAAGCGTTTGGCACTTTCAACCACCAAGAGGCGCAAAAGGAGAAACCGTCAGCCGGCAAGGCTGATGTCCCTTGAGACAAAAGAAGCCACAACAGGCCGCCGGTGGTTCTGAAAGCGTCGGAGTATCACCAAAAATTGGGATCAGGGCTGAACGGGAGGAAGATATGGGTGCAGGCACCGACATTTGCCCAGCGCCACAACGCTAGAGCGCGACATGTCTCATTCCCCGGCCTTCACGCGCATGCCAATGAGAGCGCCACCCATTCCTGACACTTTGGCTTTGACGCTGATGTCCCGCCTCCGTCAAGCTCTTCTCAACGCGTTCGGCGTAGCGGTGGCTGAGCGTAGGGTCGCGTTTTACAGGTTCTTCCGACACGAGACGATGAGAAGGCGGGCCGAGGATGTCATGCCAGGCAGAGGTGCGACTGAGTCTTCCGTCATACCAAAGTACACGAGAGTAAGGGTTTCTTGCTGCGGCTTGTCCTGAGTTCTGACGAGCATGCATCATTCCCTGTAACTCATGCAGCAGAGATCACGACGATCAGTTGGCCCCCTTAAGGTGTATTGAACCTCATACCTCACTTCGTGAAGCGAAAGGTGGGACCGTCAGCCTCCCGCCAAGCTCGCATACACCATTCGAGGCACAAGTGTATCGGCGAATTTGATATAAGACGACCGTCACTCCTTTCCCAAGCAGGAGGTTAAGGACCGGACGACATCAGAACGTGCATTCACCTTTTAGATCACCGTCATCACTCCAGTCACCATTACCTCCCTCGACCGTGCTCACAGCCCAGAGACCTTGCCCGCAGCCATATCAACCCATCCATCACCCAGTACTTGCAAGACGGGGCTTCATTCGCACTCACACACACTCATATACACCCACCCAAACTCTCACAATGCGTCCCTCTACCTACCTTGTCGCAGCCCTCTGCGCAACTGCAAACGCCCTTCAAGCCATAGACGTACCAAACCGCGCCAGCGAAGCCATAGCAGCCGCCAACGCAGCCATCAAGGAACGCCGCGACCTCAACGCCTGCACATCCGTCGCAACTTCCCTCCTCCCCAAAATCACCGACAACGTGCCCGCCCCGCCCGCCGACGTGGCCGCCTACCTTGCGCTCTCAGTGACCATCACGGACGCCTGCTCCGACCCGACCATCACGGGATCCATCGGCTCCGCGTACTCAACCTACGCGTCATCGTACACGTCGTGGAGAGACAAGCACATCACCGACTTCCGTGCGCTGTGGCAGGCTTGCAGCGACGTTCCCGGCATCGTGGACGTTTTGCCTACGGGTACGAATCAGTGTAGCTCCGTTGTGGCGCAAATTACCAGCGCGGGGCCGGTTAACGGCGGCGGGTCCGGGGGTATCGGGGGGTCGCACAACGCTGCTGCTAAGCCTAGGGAGACCGGGGCTGTTGTTGCGGCGGCGGTCATGGCTGGATTTGTCGTTGCTGCTATTCAGTGAGAGTTGACTTGATGCGTGTGCCTTCACCTGAAGAAGAAGGAACGTGGGGAATGGTCATGAAGACGAGGAACGAAAGCTTACTGACACTAGTTGATACCTTGATTGAGGAGGATGTAATGAGAATTATAGCATTGCTGGGTATTTCACGTCCTTTTCAGATGGCATCAAACATGAAGGAGAAACATACTCGATACTTTAATTCCCCTCGTTGAAGCTGTCCATAATGACTCCGTATACGCCCGCTTCCATCTGGTATCTTAGTGTTTCCTCCCATATGTCTTTTCGCATACTTGACATTATCATTAATTTTGTTTCCAAAATATCTACAAGAATTCTCCCTCATCATAACAGGACGGCAAAATTCCAATTCTCTACCGCTGCATGCGACTTTTTCAAGTCCCGCTTCAGCCAGCACCGCAGCTCCGCGGCGCCGTTGATCATCACGTTGCCCCACGATACGCCGGTACACTGAGCCGACTTTGCGCAGATCTCCATGCAGTCGCCCATGGTGCTCGCCTGCGTGTTGGACATGTCGATGGCGCCGTCGTCGCCGCTGTAGTCGACCCCGCAGACCCGGAGGAAGCGCTTGTCGGAGCCGATGACGTTGTAGACCGTGTTGTCCGCGTCTGGGCAGATTGCATTGCCGCTCGAAGTTGCTGTTGGAGATGGCGTTGATGTGGAGGTGCTGGTCACCGAGGTTGGAATCGATGTTGATGCTGTCTCGGTCGCAGTTGCGTCGCTGCCGCTCCGTGGCATGGAGGAGCTGGACATTGTGGGCACGATCATTGTTGTTGATGTCGAGCTTGCACCAGTAGTTGGCGTGGGCGTTGAAGTTGAGCTTGAGGAGAGCTTTGTTAATCGACAGGTCCACGCGCATGTCAAAGTTCAAGAGAAGATGAAGCACATACCTCGTCGTCGCGGCGCTCTGGTCCGACTTTTGATTCGCGCCAATGCCGACACCAACACCAATACCAACTCCGAGAACAACCGCAACAATCAGAGCAACGAGCAACCAAAACACCCACATCGTCATACCGCAGCACTTGCGCTTCCTCTTGCGATCGCTATCCTCCTCGTCGTGATCGAACACGCTTTGCCGATACCCCCGCGTCCGAGCAGCCTTGTCACCGCCGGTGCCATCAGGTAGCGGCGGCGTGTCCTCGCGGTAGAACGTGAATTCTTCATTGTTCATGGGCGTCGGATCGTCGCCGGCCCAGTAGACGCTGGGTATCGATGCTTTGCCAAAGATGGATCCCTTTGCGCTCCGGATGGTGGCCGCTTTGCGGGGTGACGGCACGGTGCGTTTTGCTTTGAGGTCGCGGGGGACGATCGGGTCCGGTTCGTCCGGCGGGGGAGGGCGGTCGTTCATCATCTTGTTACCGATGATTCCTGTCCTCTTGCCACCTTACGTTGATCTGGTCGTTTCCGATTCCTCTAGTTGGATTCCTCCAATTGAACTTCCCTCTAGTATTGCCCAATCCCTATTCGATCCCGAAGCAAGAAGTTGGCAATTGCAATTGCCGATGCCAGGCTTTGCAGACAATAATTGCCAGAGTTGCTTTCTTTCGGCGACAAGGCTGTTGGCGTTGCGTGTAGGTTGGGTTATACGGCGAGATCCCGCACCATTATCTCGGCCTTCCCGGGACGAGGACAGAGTTTCGTAGCCTTGCCGTGGCTGGACCCTTGATATAAAAGAAACGAATGTATCTCGAACAAATGCGACCTTGTTTCAAACGAGCGAAAGTGGGCGCGCCCTGGGAAGCGCAATGCGCCGCGCTGCCGTGAATTTGAATTTGGGGGTCCGGTTTTCTCTCTCTGCCCGTATTCCTAAACCCCAGCCCCGTCACAATGTCGAGCGGGAAAAGAGTGAACCGCTTTGTGGGATCGTTTCGCCTTCAATTGAATGAATGAAATTGAAGCGAAACGTAATGAATGAGAATGAGTGAAGGAAGGGGAAACAGGAAGAATGAAAGGTAAGACAGAAACGAAAAGTGGGCAAACAGAGTCAACCGTTACCCGCGAATCCATGATCCGTTCAGGAAACTCTCCTCCTGGCCCCCTGTTGCTGGGCTTTCTCCATCAATAAAAGGACCTATATAACAGAGTCCGGAAGTGGTGGTGCCCCTGTTGTGATAATTTCCCGGGCCTGGGGCATGATGTGACGGACTAGGCCGCTTTGGCACGTCCAAGCAATCTACACCATGGAACCGTGGTTTTAGGGGCAAGGATCATGAAGGTGTTGGTTCGTGGTTCTTGACCAGTATGAGAAATCAGTTGTGTTGGACAAGTTGAAGCACCGAAGTGAAAGAAGTAAAAGATCAAGTGAGAGATGATATCCAGAGATCGGCCTGTCCGACTGCAATGCGAGCAAACGGCGCCGTGCCCATACTTTCGGGATGTTCGCCTGCCTCACCCGAGGAATGCAATGCAACTGTGACGGTCGACCCGACTCACCATTCCCAAAACCACCGATCAAGACAACGCTCGGCGGGCTGTTTTCCTCGACAAGTTAGCTCCCCCAAGCAATTGGCTTACCCCCTACCCTCATCGAAAAGAAACGGTCCTAGCGCATCCAGACCAGACAGGCACACAGATAACAAGACGAAAACATGTGCGAACTCCAAAGTGCGAGCCAGCCGTGCCAGCCACCGGGTGCTAAAGAAAGCACCTTGTGGTGGACGCGAAGGAAGTGTGGGAGTCTGACTTTGTCGCGCTGGCGCCGCGAGTTTTGTACCTTTGCGCCCGAGTCAACCCCTCATCCCTCCCATAGTGATTTAAAATGATCCTTTGGCCCCCCTCCACTCTTCTAACAGACGGTACGGATTCATGTGAGTTCTAGCCCTGCTTCCCAAGATGACGGTCCGCCGTGCATGAGCCCGCGCCGGACATCTGTTCGCTTTGGCGTGCTTTTCGTTGCGCTTTGCCTGGCCTCGATCGCTTCCGCTTTCCCGCGACGGCAACGGACTGTGCTACAGTTGAAGTGTTGAGTGGCGCAAAATCTCGAACCCCTCATTTTGGAAAGAGCAAAGAGCCTCAGTGCTTCACTCATATTCGTTGCCGTGGTCATTTGATCCAAGCTGCGGCAGGGTAAGGTGAGCAAGGAGCAGAGGTAAAGGGCAGAGAGGAAAGGGAACCGTTGGAAGCATTTGGAAGAAGGGAACTTGAACAGAGTCATGGCAGTGGTATGTGCGGAGGAAGTGTTCAAACTAGCAGAGTTTGCGATTCATGAAGGGACCGTTCATCTCAAGTTTTTCATCCCAACGGTGTCCCTGCGAGGAGCCCAACCTCGAAAATATTCCATGGGAATACTGAAAGGGCAAGGGAAACGAACGAGCTGGGGGAAACGAGCGACAAAAGCCTGCTTTCCAGCCTCGCTAACTTTGAGAATAACAACAACACTCAACTCTTGACGCCCGATAATCAAACTCCCACGGCCCAAAGCAACCTGCTTTCACAGCATTCCATGGCCCAAGCCCCTGTCCAAGCCCTTGTCGTCTTTTTTCCTTGCGAAAGAAGGCCATTGCCAGAAGAAAAAAATCTCCGAGGTTTGGAAGCCCTGGAATGCAGCCTAGAATTCTTCTTCCTCTAATTATGGCTGAACCGCTCTGCCACTGACGCCTGAGAGCTGAAAGCCTTGTGTTTGTCCTCGGCTGTTCGAGTCTCCGTAACACTAACAGTAAACAGGTTCCCGTTGCCATTGGGAAATGAAGACGAGGTCGGAACGGGTCTACTAGTGAACATGACGAGAAACTGTCAAGGAAGCCCTCTGCTCTCTTGGTGTCCTCTCCGAGGTCTCCAGCCCCCAGTCCCAGGGCGATCGCTGCAAGTCGGGCATGAGGTGGTGTGGATCATCTCCACGAACATCCCGGCATTCCGTTCATCGGGCACCAACTCGACGCCGCTCTCTTGAGATGAAGTGTTGATGCCAATCAAGTCTTCCTCCCTTTGGAAGCTTCCTTTAAACATGCACGTCGTCCCAGAGCGAGTGGCCACTGTTGCATGACTCCCGCAAGACCTTTCCTTGTCTGCTCTTATATTCGCTGCGTTCTTGCTGTTTTCGTTGGGAAATTTTCTCAAAAGGCCTGTCCTTACCGTCCCATCCCGCTCCCGAACCAGACCAAAAGAAGCGTGAAGCCATCGTCAAGTTTTTTTTCTGTTCTTTCAGCTGCAGTGGGGATTTCATTTTGATTATCATTTCGGCCCGTGGACTATAGTATGACCCATCGACAGGCCCCGCCGCAGCCGGCCCGGGGCTCGCGGCCCCAGACCGAGAAGGTATCCAGCTCGGCCTCCAAGAGCAAGGGAACTAAAGCGCCGGCTCCGGCTCCGGCGCCAGCTCCGGCTTCCAAGTCCGCGAGGCAGACAACTCCTATCGCTGCACCGAAGCCCGTTCGCCCTGTTTCTTCTCACAAGCTTCAGCCACCGGTGCAGCAGTGGACGGGAAACCCAAGCCCTCCCTCTTACACCAGCTTCAACGTTCCGCCACCCGCAAGTCCAGTACCAAAAGCCGGCGCCAACGGCCCTTCGGCTCCCCCGAAAGCTCCCTTATCCGGCCTCGGCCGTGTCGCCGACCTCCGCAGCCCGGGACCCGGCGCCCTCACCAGCTTTCCTCCACCTCCGCCGACACCGCCACAGAGGGAGCCCACCGGTTACTTCCCAGCGGGCGCAGGGCAGCAACAACAGCAACAACTATCATCAGCACAAATCAAGGCGGCCGCAGCTCGTATCCCGGCTAGTGCGGCCAATGGAGTCCTGACACCACCCGAAAATGCGAAGAGGACTGGGGCACCTGAACCGCGGCCTGGTGTGATCGACTTTGACAACCTCGAAGAGACGCTCCAGAACCTGCGCTTTGCGCCCTCGCCAATGCTGTCTACTATCTACTCCGCCCCGTCGACCCCCCGCGACGAGCTCGCCACGCCAGACTTCACCGCCAGCACCACCACATCATGCTTCACGCCTCCCTCCACGAACCCGACCCCTGAGCCCGTGACGCCGTTGGATCTCACCCCTCGAGGACCGCCTCCAGCGCAAAAGCAGCAGCCAAAGAAGGAACTCACAATGTCGCCCACGAGACCGCGCGCCAACTCTCGAAGAGCCAGCCCGCCCAGCAGAAAGCGAGGACGCGGCGTCGTCGCCTGCATCGACAGCCCCGTCACCTTTTGCACGACGTGGTACACGCACCCTACCGCGCCCGACTTCTCCATCTGCTCAAAGTGCTACGAGGACCACCTCGTTGGCACCCGGTTCGAGCACGACTTCCGTGGCAAGATCTGCGATGATAACAAGCCGCGGGTCTGCCGCTTCAGCAAGCCCCGCGTCAGGGACCATCTTCTCCGCAACACCCTCGCCACGGGACGCATCGAGGACCTCGTCACCTTCCTCCTCCACAGGAGCGCTGTTCCGGATTGTAGGGGCGCCGATGGAGCCAAGGGAAGCGAAGGCGCCAAATGGTATCGTCCAAAGAACAATGCCGTACCAAACATGGTTGTCTGCCAGGCCTGCTTCGAGGACCATATCCAGCCGTACCGCTTCGCGGCCAATTTTGAGCAGGCCACGGGACAAGCCACCAACGACGTCTGGTCCTGCGACCTCTCCACCCGTTACATCCAGAACATTTACAAAGAGGCGGCCGTCAAGGACGACTGGCTCGGCTTCACCAAGGAAGCCCTCGCTAGGATGAACCTCCCCCCTTGTGCCAAACGCCAAAAGGTTACCGTCACCTCCCGCAAGTGGTTCACGCCCACGGCCGCGGGCCACGACGGCGTCCTGGTCTGCGCCGCTTGCTACTGCGACTTCGTAGCCGGCACCGGCGAGGAAGGAAAATGGTGCGACGCCGGCACGAACCTCGCCTCACGATACGGCAGTCTCGTCTACTGCGCGCTGGGCCACTTCAACATTGGCATCGCAATGTCCTGCGCCACCGAGGCCAAGCAGTACTCCATCTTCTGGAAAGCCCTCGACGCCGCCTGCAATGAGGAGTTTTGCAGCCCGCAGGGCATCACAGACGGGACGTGGTACACGTTCCCCTCCCACCCAGCCGAGTTCGGCATCTGCGCCGCCTGCGTGGCCAACGTCGCCGAACCCCTCGGCCTGAGCTCTTCTCTCGTGCCAAAGTGCGGCGTGTCATCCGGCACGACGCTTCTGTGCTGCTTTAACCCCGCGAACCCGCGCTTCGCCCCTTACATGACGAAGCTTCTCGAGGGTCACTTCACAGCCGACACCCAGCTGCTTGAGTCCTACGCCCTCGAGTTCGCCAGCCTGCCCCTCTGCCCGCGCGACGAGGATTTCCGTGACAGGCGGTGGTACGGATGGCAAGACTGCACAATTTGCCCGTCGTGTTACCACGAGTCCATCCGCGGCACTACACTG